AAATATATAAAACATTTTAAAAAGTAGATAGTTGAACTTGGGAGAAAAGAAAGAAATTGCTAAGGTCCAGAAGTGAGGTAAAAACTGAAACCAGTAACCAAGAAGTTTGTTTTCTTCACAGGGTTACTCTGGGACAGGATATAAGACCTGTAAATTGAGGCCCCACATAGAGCCAAGACCCTCAAACTGCTACATTCTCCATGAAAGGATGGGCTAAAAACCAGTCCTGTTGGCAAAAGGAGATTCATTCATTCTCTCATTAATTCAATAACATTTTTTGAAAGCTTACTATAAGCTAGATTTATATTCCAGGCACTTGGGATACAATAACAAAACAAACAAACCTCTGTCCCTCGGGGATTTATAGTCAGGTGGGTGCAATACAGAAAACACTTAATACACATAATATATCAGGGGATATGTTTATGGAAAAAACAGAACAGGGAAAAACAGATTAGGGATGATGGGGTAATCATCTATGTTGAACTGGACTCTTGGAGGGAAAACAGATTCTGTCCTGCAAATTCTCAGCCACAGATCTGCCCTTTAGGAGGGGCTGGGCTTATAATTGATATTAGTTATTTGCATGATCTGGAAAAACTAAGGAAAGTAACCAACATAAATTGGCCCCAGGTTCTTAGTGTCTGTCCTTATCATTCTGGTGGTATGGAGAGGTGCTACCTGATAAAAACAAAGAAAACTCACCACCTAGGCTGCCAAGGGGTTTCAGAGATAAAACCTAGACAAAAGTAATCTCACAATAAAAAAAAAATACAAAACTATCAATGGCAGATTTTGGATTCAATACAGTATTGTTGGATGCTGAAGCCCATTCTACACACACATCAAGATATACCACACATTCTGATGGGAAGGGTTACCCTAAAATCCAAGGTATTTAGGATCACAGAATCTTCAAGTAGGAAGGGACCCCCCAAAATTACTTTCTCCAATCTTCCTAACAAGGTAGGAAATCTTTCTGTAACATGACACAGATCATCAGCCTCTATTTGAATACCTCCAAGGCAGGAGTGTATATTCTTTGCCTGGATGGTGGGCAAAATAACACTATCTAAGGAGACAGGTAGGTTCCTTATTCCTTTTGTGCCCAGTGATCTTGGGCAGAATAATTACCCATATGAATTTAAGTTTTCTTATCTTAAAATGGGGATATCATCTCACAGGGTAGTAGATATAATGGCTTACCAGGCACATAGCAGGTCATCTTATTTTTCTTCTCATTAATGTCTTGATCTAAGTAACAATAAAAATATTTATTCTGTTTTGCATTTATCAAGTCAAATCCACTCATAGGCATGAGATTTTTTTGAAAATCCAAATTTTAGAGGGGGGAAAATCTCATTCAATTCAACATTCCACTGGGAATGAGTTTTGTCATTTAAAAAAATTACTAATTTTTATTTAATTTTGAACCAACATTGTTTCTGCATTTCAAGGCCTTTTCTATTTCCAGTCTGAAGGTTTGTGGCTGCTATCTATGTTGGGATGGAGGGTGACTCTGAGAAGTCTCTTGATCAAGGATGAAGTATAAGCTCCATTGTGACAGCTGGCTTTTTTTTTTTGTCATACAGCTTTTTTTTTGTTTTAGAAGTTTCAAGAGTAAATTTTACTCACTTAAGCTCATTAATTTAAAACTTACGGTATTGGAGAGTTCTGGCCATGATGGAGGCACAGGTAGAAACACTTCACTTCCTCACACAACCCAAAGGAGGATAAATAACAACCAATCTAAAATAAATAAACAACCAGAAAAATCAAACTGCAGGGAACTCCGACAACCAAGGAATTAAAGAAAAAATCAACCAGAACAACTAGACTGGTAAGGCGGTCGACCATGCATGCGGGCCTGAGGAGAAAACCACAGCAGCAGACCTTGGGGGCGGGGCTGGCTGCAGTTTGGCGACAGGCTGTGTGCACAGGGCTGAGCTTGAGGGGAAACCGAGACCCAGAGTTGAGACATTGCTACATTGGGAGAAACTCCCAGTGTCACACAAGAGTCCAGAAAGTGCACTAGGGACAATCAGGTGAGCTTCATTGTTCCCTCTCTGGCCCCTCCCACACAGGCAGCAAAGCAAAGAGGGTTGCCCTGCCTGGGTGAATTCCTAAGGCCCCACCCCCTTTCAGCTTCTCAGCTGCGCCAAGACAAAGAAATATGGCCCAAATGAAAGAACACAGCAAAAACCTCAGAAAGAGAACTAAACGATGAGAACATAGCCAACTTATCTGATGGAGAATTTAAAGCCCTGGTAATCAAAATGCTCACAGATCTGATTGAGCTTGGTCGAAAAATGAAAAAACAAATGAAAGATACACAAAATGAAATAAAGCAAAATATTCAGGGAACCAACAGTGACAGGAAGGAAACCAGGACTCAAAGCAATGATTTGGAACAAAAGAGAAAAATAAACATCCAATGGGAATAGAAGGAAGAAACAAGAATTCAAAACAGTGAGGAGAGTCTTACAAACCTCTGGCACAACCTGAAATGCTCCAATATCCAAATTATAGGGGTGCCAGGAGAACAACAATGGCAAGAAATTGAAAACTTATTTGAACAAATAATGAAGGAAAACTTCCCCAATCTAGAGAAGGAAATAGACTTACAGGAAGTCCAGGAAACCCAGAGAGTCCCGAAGAAGTTGGACCCAAAGAGGAACACACCAAGGCACATCATCATTAAGTTACCCAAGATTAAATATAAAGAGAAAATCCTAAAGGAAGCAAGAGGGAAGGAGACAGTTACCTACAAAGGAGTGCCCATTATGCTATTCAGCTGATTTGTCAAAAGTAACCTTGCAGGCAAGAAGAGGCTGAAATAAGTATTCCAAGTCATGAAAGACAAGGCCTACATCCAAGATTACTCTATCCAGCAAAGCTTTCATTTAGAATAGAAGGGCAGATAAAGTGCTTCCCAGATAAGGTCAAGTTAAAGGAGTTCATCATCACCAAACCATTATTATATGAAATGTTAAGGGACTTATCTAAGAAAAAGAAGGTAAAAAATATGAACAGTAAAATGACAACAAACTCACAACTATCAACAAATGAACCTAAAAGAAAAGAAAAACAACAAAAACAAAAACTAGGCAAACAACTAGAACAGGAACAGAATCAGAGAAATGGACATCACATGGAAGGATTTCATTGGGGATGGGGAAGGGAGGAATAGGGGGAAAGGTATAGGGAAGAAGAAGCATAATTAATAGGCATAAAATAGGGAGAGATAAAAATGGTATAGGAAACAGGACTCAAAGAACTTGTATGTACAACCCATGGACATGAACTAAGGGGTGCGTGGAATGCTGGAGGGTTGAGGGGATAGGGGTGGAGGGGGATAATAGGAGAAAAAAATGGGGAAACTGTAATAGCATAATCAATAAAATACTTAAAAATAGATAAATAAAACTTCTGGTATAATTTACTTGCAATGTAATTCACCAATTTTAGGGGTACAGATTGGTGAACTTTGATAATTATAGATAACTGTGTCTACCCACACTCAAGATATAGAACAATTTCCTCACTTTAAAGTTTCTCCTTCAGGTCTTTGATTTTCAGAGGGATGTTGACAAATTGGCTGAAGTCTGGTGAGAAATCTGGAAGTTCTGGCATAGGCAGACCACCTTAAGGAATTAGGCTTATGGAGAATGTACCAGCTTTCTAATATTTGAAGGACTGCCATGTAGATAAAGAGTGGTTTTAGGGCAGCTCAGAGGGAGGCATCAGGACCTGTGGGTGGAAGTGAGATATTTTGGCTTAATATAAAAAAGAAATTTCTAAAAACAATGTAATAACTATTTACCGATGACAAAGGTGAGACTGAGTTAAAAGTGAATTACTCTAGATCAAACACCTAGGAAATGGTAGATTCAGAATTTGAACGCAGGTGTTCTGATCCTAAATTCAGATTTTCTCATTCGTCCCTTTGCTTTGGAAGATGTCCAGGAGGCTCATGGGGCATAGTATCAAAATAGAGGCGACCTGAGTTAGCTACTCAGATGTTCGTCATTTTTAACCATTACCCTCTGGCTCATGCCATGCCTTTGCTGGGGCTAGCCAAGGCCCAGTAAAGACCAGTGACCCTTCCAACATGAGTGGAGGAGGGTGAGACCAACCCCCGCAGCCTGTGGTTCACTTTGCTTCACAGCCATCTTTTGCTTTGATTTCCAGCGTGGGGTGAGGATCCAGGTCAGTGAGAAGCTGGGTGCTGGGTTTGCCTGTGTGGGTGCCACTGATAGGGATCAGCTGCTGGCCTGGCTGGGGCTTCAGGTTGAGAGGAGCTTATAGCAATGCCTTCCACCTACCTGGCTGGGCTTGTCTGAGAGATTCTGAGTGTGAAAAGGGAAAACAATTGAAAATAAAAACAGCACTCTCAGGTGAGAGAGAGGGTAAAAAAAAGAGAGATGAGGAGTGTATAACAAGAAGAAGGGAGCCTACGCAATAAAGCCAGAACTTTACTGCACAATTCCCAGTGAGCAATTGAGTGAAAACTCTCACTGTCAGAGGAGAAAGGACTGGCACATGAGGGCCTTTGCTGAATTTAGGGGTCTTATTGGCCTCCTGGCACTTTACTGACAGTGGTTGCACAGGTTACTACTCCACAGGAAGACCTCAGTTCATGAGGATGCTCAGGAGTCCCTCCGCCCTGACCTTCGGATGGGAGAGAGTGGAGGCTCCTAAGGCATTGAGTATCAGTTGGATGTTTGTTGGATGTGACCAAGGCATCTGCCAGAGGGAGAGAACAGAGAAGGCAAAGGCACCTCTTCCCTGGCTGTCATTCCCCTCTACTTTGCCCTCCTCTTCTCTGGGAGAGGCTGGCAAGCAGTGGCATCCTACACAGTGAGGAAGGTAGGCCAGTGCATTGTGTTTGCCCAGCTCAGGGCCTAGCCAGCTGGCAGGAAGCAGGACAGAGGTCACTTGAACTCAGACCATGTGTCCCTGTTAAATACATCAGCTTTTAAATCAATCTTTGTTCAAAGTCCAGTGAGTTCCAAGAAAACAACTCACCAGCAGAGAGTGAATTCCCAAGTGGACCCAGCAGCTCTTCCTTCCAGGTCCAGGTAAGAACTAACTCTGAGTCCCCCGACTGAGGGGCTGACCACCTGGGCCTGAATCACCTTTTTCCTTTTCCTTTTCCCTCTTCTAAGCAATAGCTGGCTATCAAGGACAGAAGAGAGGCTCATGCAGAAGGAGCAAGGAGCCAGGCCCCCTTGGTGGTGGTGGTGATGGTGGTGTGTTTGTGTAGTGGTGGGGGACTAGTCTCCTAGATTCTCTCTGCTTGAGGAACCCCAACACTTGCAAGTGAGGGTGCACTTTACAAAGGAGTTGGTAAACTAATCCTCAAACAAAAGCTTTCTCACAGTTGCACGGAGGTTTGATGTACAGCCAAAGGGAGTGAGACAGCAGACCTCACAGGTCACAGGGAGATACTCACAGAACTTTCCGGCTATGCAAGGGCTCTGGGTAATAGAGATTTTCTTAAGGGTTACAGCCTAATGTAGCTGGACAATACAGACAGGCATTGCTATTCTTTTCATCACATTATAGCACTGAGAAATGAGGAAAAACCAGGGGATTTCTAGGCTGGCTGAATTTTAAAATGTAGATCTTCAGGCTCTACCCTTCGGAATTTCTAGTTCTTTGTATTTTTTAACACTCACCCAGAGGAGTCTCATGTACAGGCAGGTTTGGGAACCACTGGCAGGTTCTTTCCTAAGTAGTGGGGTCAAGGAACTTAAACATGACTTTCATCTAAGGGCCCACCAGCTAAGAATCCTATTCTGGCTGGCTCTGCGAGAACACATTCCTCCTTAGCTTTAGTCCCTGCAGTGTTGCACTGACATGCTCTCATTCTTTTATCCAGAAATCATAGGGGCTGATGGTCTCAGGTCATGGTTGTCTAGTCACCTGGAGTCACACATTTTTTCATGAAGTAATAATTCAGGGACTTTGAGTTTGTGTGTTATGACTAAGTAAATTGGTCTTACCATTGACTCTTGCATATTCTTTGCACCATACACTATGAAGTTGCTAGTAATGATGTCCTCAGTTCATAGACCACTAGATAGACAGCTGCTTCTCATCCAGAGCAAAGAACATGGGGCTGGAATACAATAACCTCGGTTTTCATTCAGCTGTTAGTGACAGGCTATTAGACAAGTCAGCTAGCTGGAGCCTCAATTTTGTCATCTATCAAAGCCTCTCATCTTTTGCTAAAGGCTGTACTGAAAATAAAATTACAAATATGTGCTTGAGCAGAAAGACAAATGTGCTTACATTTTAAATGTGTGTATGTATCTGAAGGCTCTGTGGAACAGTGGGAGACACACAGCCTTGTGGCTAGTTGGAGACCTTGTTCCATCTTTTAATCTTGTTGAGCCTTTACTCATCTATAAATAAGGAGTTGAGACTTAATAATCACAATTGTTCTTTTCAGCACACCAAGTAGAATAGATCCTGGAGCTTTGAAGTCTAGCTCTTTATTATCACTTGGGTGTGAATTAAAATGTTAGCTCCCCAGGAAGGGCTTTTAAAATCAGCTTCCCCCTCCACTCCACCACTATATTCCTCATTTGTAGCCTTATTATCAGAAATCATCTTGTTTACTTCTTATATGCCACCTTTGCTAGATGTAGTTTCAAGAGAGCAGGGATCTTGTCCTTTGTTGTTACTTGCTGTAATCCCAATTCCCAGAACAACACCTGGCAAAAGTAGATGCTTAGATATTTGGGTAAATGAAAGTTGGTATGGCAGGGAAGGAGCTGCAAGGATAAAATCAGGATTTCATTTTTTTTAAATGTATTTATTTAGTTATTTTTAGAGAGAGGGGAAAGGAGGGAGAAAGAGAGGGACAGAAACATCAATGTAGGGCTGCCTGTTGCATGCCCCCTGCTGGGGACCTAGCCCACAACCCAAGCATGTGCTCTGACTGGAAATTGAACCAGCGACCCTTTGGTTCACAGGCTAGCCCTCAATTCACTGAGCCACACCAGCCAGGGCAGAATTGGGATGTTTTGATAAGCTGCTCTGAAGGTGAGGAGGTCGAAGAATTCTGATACTGTCAGGTTATCTGAGGTCCAAAGTCTGATGATGTGGGAATGGGTGTCTCTGTTTTACATCTTGGTTAAATGGTTTCATATTTGTTGCATAAGAATTTGACAAGAGTAGCAAGTTAGAGTTAGACATATTTTCTTCAAGATCTCAACAATTCCTCACCTTGGTCCTTCATGAGGGACTGCTCAAATTTCTTTCATTTCTGCCTGGTTGGTATTATGGCTAGGTGATTAAGAGCATGGGTGTTAACTGGAAACATGCATTCCAGAACAGGCATGTTTTTCCCCTCTAAATCTCTATTTCCTCCTCAAACAGTCATAATAGAACCTAGTTTTTAGTGTTATGAGGACTAGATGAGACAATGCACTTTGTGCCTTGCACAGCTGAAATATATTCTGAGGATCTTCAGACAGCTTTGTGAGAGGCATAACCCCAGGGAAGGAAGGAACCCTGGCACTGGCAAGGAGTTTTGTAAACAGGAAAGATAGCACCTACTAACTTGCTTAATGACAACCAGGGAGGGTTTGCTCTTGGTTTGAGATGACCACCAGTTTCTGAGGCTCCAAGCCTCACAGACATAAACACTGAAGCTTCTCTATAATCTGTAGGACTGAGTCTAAGGCATTTACAGTCTTAACTTTTTTTGTCCTTTCAATATGTCCTGTTCTCTGGGTGCTCTGAACCATTCACCATTCCTGAATTCACCTGTACTCTTTCTTTTGCCTTGCATGCCTTCCTCCTCCTAGCCTAACTACTTGAGTTTTCTAACACAGCATATCTCTCATGGTTGGGGAGCTGGGGAAACTGTGGAAGGAGCCCAGACTCAACTGGGTTTGAATCTAGGTTTTGTTGCTTATCCAAATAGCCATGGGAGACCAACTTAACTTTTCAGAGTCTCTTTCCCTTGTCAAATGGACTATTAGGATTAGATGAAAACTCATAAAAGGTACTGAAGCTGGTGCTTAGAACCTAGTGGGAGCTCAATAAATATGTGTAACAATAACAATACATTTACTTTTTTTTCAATTATGGTTTACATACAGTATTATTTTAGTTTCAGGTACACAACATAGTGATTAGACATTTATATAGCTTAAAAATGAAGTAATCACCCTGATAAATCTAGTACCTATCTGGTACCATATATAGTTATTACAACATTATTGACTATATTTCCCATGCTGTACTTTATATCCCTGTGACTATTTTTATCACTGGCAATTTGTACTTAATCCCTTTCACCTTTTTCACCCATCACCCCACCTCCCTCCCATCTGGTGACCATTATTTTGTTCTCTCTATTAGTGAGTTTGTCTCTATACAAAATACTTATTTTTCAACATTCCAGCACCCATACCCTTGTTTGGTAGTTATGTTTGTAGCTCTCTCCACTGCACTATGGGCTCTGTGAATGCAGGATGGTATTTAATCTGGGTTGAGCCTCAGTCTCTGCCCTCAGCAGGTACTAAATATAATTAATTATATAAATGATACTTGAAATTCAGAGGATGGGGTGACATTTCCAGACTGTGCTGGTCAGGAAAGGATTTTCATACATCTAAACTTTGAACTTAGCTTTGAAAATGGGTAGGTCTTGAATTCATTCACTTGTAAAAAATGTTTGCTTAGGACCTAATCAGAATGGGGATGGTATTTCAGGCAGAACATGGGGCCTGAGCAAAGGCCAGCCTTGGTGCCTGCTGAGGAGTAGAGCTGGATAATGCTGAGCCTCAAAACCTGAACCAGATATCTGGATTTTTGTGTCTTGAATAAATTTTTAGAGGCTAACATGGTGAGAGCAAGAACAGGAAGTTTGTCTTGAGGCACTGAGTGGGAGAGACAGGAGGTGGGAGGACTCTGTACATAGAAAAAAAGTGAGGGGGTAGAAATGTAAGTTCAAAGGATCTTGTAAAACCAGGTGCCAATTTGGGGTGATAACTTTGTTCCAGCCAACTCTCTGGATGGTTTGGTTATTTTTAGGCACTAGTTCTATCAGCAGGAGTAGATACTATATCCTTTCTGTGAGGACATCTCAGTTTTCATGCAATATTGACTCTATCTCTACCAATTTACAGAACTCTTAGATAAGCAAGTGAAGTGTGAAACACTTTGAACTCCATCCCAGAGTCCTACCATATAGGACAAAGTGTTGTTCATGGTGGCTGGAGCAGTATTTAGTACCAGTGGGACGAATGAACTTTGAGATAAACAGATTCCATTCCCTAACATAAATCAGAAATAAGAACTGAATTGGTCACTGGGCCGATGATCACTCTTTGCCACATAATTCTCAATGCAATGCACTTCATTAATTTCCCATATTTGAAATCTATTGCTTGTGAAGACTAAACAGTAACTATCACAGAGGGAAGTACAGTTAGCAAATACATATTTTAGGGCACTTATCCTATTTTTGATACTAATTATTTAAAATTAATACACTTGAATGTTTGAATTCTCACAGGTCTTGCCTTTCAATTGAGGAATCCAGGTGGCCTCAAATATATTATCTACAGCAAAGATGTAGGATATGCTCTAGGTAAAATATTTGTGAAGAAAATAAAATGGAATTTTCTTTATCTCTTCCTTACTTTATACACCTGTCCATACTAGCCAAGGTACAAGAAACAGGTTGTGCTAAGGCTCTGAAAGAAGGCAGAGATACTTCTGGCACAGGGCAGAAAGCCCTTGGTCAGGGCTGATGGCTGTGGGGAATTTTCAGCCAGTCTAGAGTTGCTGATTTAACATCACCAGTCTCCACTAATTGTATTTTCCAACAAAAGTCTAGTGATTTGTTTGTCTCACTCTTTACACATGCATGCAAATGCTGAAGAAGTGTTCCTCACAAGGGCACAATGTGTGGATGTGCCTGGTCAAGCTTCCCAGGAATGTTGCTTTCTCCTTGCTAAAGTTCAGAGTGTTTTATGCATCAGTGTGGAGTTCAGTGCAAAGTGAATAACATTCAGGTTGAATGTTATCCTGGAGTTCTTGACCTCTCTTCCCCTCATGCCTTAATGAAATAGAAATCGTTTACTATGTGGTTATATCCTAGGTTGCACAAATATCCTCTCATAGTCTCAGTAACTAGGGTTAAATATTATTCAGCTGTTTTGCTAAGTTTTTGCTGTTTAGCATTTTCATGGTTTGAGGGTTGGTTATATAAGTGCTTTGTGAAGAGAGGGTGTATTTTCTGTGTAGTCTGATACTGACTGTATCACTGATTCCTAATTACTATTAGATAAGATGGTGGTGAGGTTAGAGTACTCATGACTAACAGTTGTTGATCACTATATTTATAGAATAATCCTTTTACATCCTGGACGCTGGGACATCAGCAAAGAAGATATCCCTGGGCTTTTTTCTTCCACTTGGCTATCTCTGGGTAAAACAGCTTCCTTCTGTTTTTCCACCTCCACATAGAATGCTGTGTATCTAACACCCTTTTTACTAATCTTTTGGAAATTTAGTGATCCTGTCTGGTGAGTGAGCTTATTCACTAGTTACTCCCTACTTACCATGATCCTAGTTACCTGGGCCAGATAGATCTCTATTAAGGTAATTCTTTCCTCACTCTATCTCCTTCACTCTTGTCTGTTCCTTGGGTCCCTTTGTTGGGGTACCTTGGGCTCACATCTCTTAGAGCTCATCTGCTCCAGGTGTTGGGACTCTGGCCAGCTTAGTCTTGGAGTTCTGTGAAAGCTCCCTGGAATCTTATACCTCACTGAGACAAAATATTTGGTGCCATTTTTGTAATTCCCTAGCTTTCAGACTTACATGATACTTCTGGGCTCAGGGAAATATGAGTTCATTATTTGAACTTTAAAATTTCATGGGGAATAAAATAATCAACCCTAGCTTTTCAGCACCTAAAACTAACTTTGCAGAGGAGGTCTAAAGTGAACTCCTGATCTGATAATCAAGGTGCTTGCCCATCCATACTTCATAATTCAATCTCTACTTGTCTGCTTCTAAAAGAAAGTGGGAGCATTGCTCAAATGTTCTCTCAGAAAATGGGATTCCCATTACCATAGGACTGCCACCAGGGGACAGGGAAGTCAGTGTGCATGGAGTAGGCTTCTCTGCTTCAGATACTGCGCTTACATGCTTTACATGTTCCATCGTAAGTAACCTTCACCTTGTCCGTGTGCATTTTCTGTTCTGGGTGTACTTTTGTCTTCAGCACAAAATTAAGAAAGTTGCCCATGTTCTCACAGCTAGCACATAGTGACACCAGGATTAAAAACTGTGTTTAGATTTAAAACTCTTATTCTTTCAAACATACTTTACCCAAACTAGAATGCTGGGAAAGATGGAAAGAAAAAATGCAAATTTTCTTCATATTAGCCACATATATGGCCACTTTAAGCTTTTCCTTGCCAGAAACTACTCTATTCTGAATATCTTTTAAGATGACTTTTTTTCCATGAGAACACTTAATTTTTGAAACTACTCCCTCAGTCTCTTCTTCTTCCCTCTTCCTATTCATCCTGCTGAACCAGCCCCTGAAACACTTGAACTTCCTGGCTTCTCTTACCTGACCATTCACATTGGCCCCACAGTCTATCATTCCAGCTCTGTGCTGTAATGGTAAATACAGAAATCCTCACCTCCTAGTCTTTTGTTTTTAAACATGTCAAAACCCAACTTGGGGGAGAAATTACCACTCTCTCCTTCTATTTTTTCTGTACCTTTTTATGAGAAAAAGCTATGAGAAACCATGCTGTTTGGTCTGCTTTAAACTCATGAGATCGATCGATCTATCTATCTACCTAATAAAAATATATATTTAACCTAAGCTGTTTCTTAGAAAATTTTATTCAATTTGTTTACTCACTGTAGTGAAACCATGCTGTGGCTATTGGAAATCCTTTTTGCCAGTGGTTATAAACTTTCAGCCCAGTTTATAACTGTTTAGTTTACATGGAGGTTCTTAAAAATCTGAATAGCTGCTGGCTTTTTAAAATGGGGACTTTTGCTGGATTAAAGACTTAAATGTAAGACTGAAAACTATAAAACTAGAAGAAAACATAGGCAGTAAAACCTCTGATATTTCTCTTAGCCATATTTTTTTTTCTGATATATCTCCTTAGGCAAGGGAAACAAAAGAAAAAATAAACAAATGGGACTACACTGAACTCAAAAGTTTTTGCACAGCAAAGGATACCATCAACAAAACAAAAAGACAACCCACTGAATGGGAGAACATATTCACCAATGGTACATCTGATAAGGGGTTAATACCCAAAATTTATAAAGAACTCATACAGGCCCTGGCCAGGTAGCTCAGTTGATTAGAGCATCATCCCTACCCACCAAGGTTGTGGGTTTGCTCTCTGGTCAGGGCACATAGGAGAATCAACCAATGATTTCATAAATTAGTGGAACAACAAATCTTTCTCTTTCTCCCTCCCTCTCCCTCTTCCTCCCTTCCTCTCTCTCTAAAATAAAAATAAAAATAAAAGCCCTCATACAACTCAACACCAAAAAAAAAAAAGAAAAAACCCAATTAAAAAATGAGCAGATGACCTGAATAGATACTTTTTCAAAAAAGGACATACAGATGACCAATAGTATTATGAGAAGATACTCAACATCACTAATCATCAGAGAAATGCAAATTGAAACCACAATGAAGCCACTTCATGCCTGACAGAATGGCTATTATCAATAAATCCAAACAACAATGTTGGCAAGGATGTAGAGAAAAGGGAACCCTCATGAACTGTTGGTGTGAATGCAGGTTTCTTTAGTCACTATTGAAAACAGTGTGGAGAGGTCAAAAAATTAAAAAGAGAACCGCCTTATGACTGACCCAGTGATTCCACTCTGGGTCCTATTTCTACCTGGAGAATCCCAAAACACTAATTCAAAAGAATATATTCACCTCTATGTTCATCACAATGTTATTTATAATAGCCAAAATATGAAAGCAACCCAAGTGCCCATTAATAGACAAGTGGGTAAAAACGTGGTGGTACATATATAAAATGGAATTTTCTCAGCCATAAAAAAGAATATAATCTTACCATTTGCAATAGCATGAATGGACCTACATAGTATTACACTAAGTGAAATAATTTTGTCAGAGAATGACAAATACCATATTATTTCACTTACATGTGGAATCTAAAAAACAAAATAGCCCTGACCAGTGTGACTCAGTTGGTTGGACATTATTCTGCAAAACAAAAGATTGTCAGTTCCATCCCAGTCAGGGCACATGCCTGGGTTGTAGGTTTGGTCCCAGGTCGGGGTGCATTCAAGAAGCAATGGGTCAATGTTTATCTCTCACATTGCTGTTTCTCTCCCCCTCTTCCTCTCTCCCTTCCCCTCTCTCTAAAAATAAATAAAATATTTTTAAAAGACAACAAAATAAATGAACAAACAAAATTAAAACAGACTTATAGACACAGAGAGCAGACTGACAGTTGCCAGAGGGGAGAAGAGTCTGGGGACTAGGTAAAAAAGGTGAAGAGATTAAGAAGTACAAATTGGAAAGGAAAATGGACTCATGTATATAGACAACAGTGTGGTGATTGCTGGGGGGAGAGGGATATAAGGGGACTAAATGGCAATGAAAAAAGTACAATAAAAAAGGTACAATTGGGAGTTACAAAATAGTCACAGGGATGTAAAGTACAGCAGAGGGAGTATAGACAATAATATTGTAAAAACTATGTATGGTGCCAGGTGGGTACTGGAAAAATTGGGAGAGGGAGAAGACTTTATAAAGTATATGATTGTCTAGTTACTACACTGTATACCTGAAACTAACACAAAATAATATTGAATGTAAACTGTAATAGAAAATAAAACAATTAAAATGGGGATATTTTGCATTAATTTCGTGAGAAATCTGTCACACCAGGCTGTTACTTCCTCACAGGAGTTGTAAATAGCAGCTGACCCACAGTCCTCTCCTGGCCAGATTCACTGATTTATTAGTTTGAACCCAGTGGATATTTTGGTCCATATTCTTGAAGTTCCTGATTTGTCTCAACTGCTTTGCAGGAGAGATTGAAGCCGAGGTAAGTGATCTCATTTTCCTCTTTATCTCATTTTTTCCCACTTCTGTGCTGCCCAGTGGAATTAGTTCAGCTCATCAAGCTAAAGCCATTTCCTATGCTTTCATGTCATTCCTTGATATACAAACATGCTGACTGTTTTCTCAATATTAAAAATAACACCACCCACCAACTCTGCTCTCTCTTCAAGCTGCTAGCACAACTCTCTCATTTATCTGTTTTAAGATATGTCTCTATTCATTGCCTCTGTTATTTACTATCTACTCATTTCTTAGTCCCTTATCCATCCTGGACTTCCATTTTCTAAGCTTAGTGGCATTTTCTGTTTTCATATTCTTTACCTCGTAATGTCCTTTGACATTGTTAGCTATCTTACCATGAAATTAATTTTTTAGTTTGCACTATACTGTCAAATCTTGGCCTTGTGATTATTCCCTCTCTGCTTCATCTTCTTGTCACCTAGATATAGGTATTATGCAAAGCTTTATCCTTGACCCTTTTCCTTTTATATTCTCACTCATGGCCTTCACCTAGCACTGCTGTGCAGACTCTAGTCCATCATCTGCTAAACTCCATGCCCTTTGATTTAAACTCATCTCAGAGTGACTTGCATCTCTTCCCTCATGATTGCTCCACTGTTTAATGATATCACCTTTCTGCTAGTTACTAAGGCATAAAGTTGTTTTTTTTTTTCACACCTTCCTTTTCCAACAGCCAGCTAAGTGAGTAGCATTACTCAGAAAATGCATTAGTCTCTTGGCTGCCATAACAGAATATCCCAGACTGGGTGGCTTAAACAACAGAAATTTATTTCTTTACAGTTCTAAAGGCTGAAAGTCTAAGACTAGGTGTTAGTAGGTTGGGTTTCTCCTGGGTCCTCTCTTCTTGGCTTGCAGATGGCCTCCTTCTTATTGGGTGCCCACATGGTCTTTTATTTTATTTTTTCCATAATTTTATTTTTTAAAGATTTTATTTACTTATTTTTAGAGAAGGTGAGGGAGGGAGAGAGAGGGAGAGAAACATCAATATGTGGTTGCCTCTTGTGTGCCCCCTGCTGGGGACCTGGCCCACAACCCAGGCACATGCCCTAGACTTGAAATCGAACCAGTGACCCTTTGGTTTGCAGACTGGTGCTCAATCCACTGAGCCACACCAACCAGGGTCTCACATGGTCTTTTCTCCCTGTACATGCACTCCTGGTGTGTTTCTCTTATAAGGATGCTGGTTCTATTGGATTACAGCCCCACACATATGACCTTATTTAACCATAATTATCTCTTTATGAGGCCCTGTCAGTAAATATAGTCACAATGGGAGTTAATGCTTCAACATGTGAATTTTGGGAGGAACACAATTCAGTCCATAGCAGAAGGGTGGTCTAGGGCTTGAAAAGTAACAAGGTTGGTTAGTAGAAAAAAATAAGCTAAGGAATAAATTCAGGGAAAGTATACAGTGGCCCTTATGGAGAAGCAGACAGAATGAGAAAATGACTATGAAATTAGAATATTCTTGGAACTCAGAACTGAGAAGACCCAAAAGCACAGTTGTATTCAAATTGAGCTGTGGCCTCAGAAGACTTCACTGTGCATGTACCTCTTTGTACAACACAGGCCCCTTTCCTTATTACCATGCATCCACAACAAAACAACATGTGAGTGACGTAAGCAGCAATTAGGGTGAGTAACAAGGGCCTGTGAGCCCTAACACAGCCTGGGGGCTATGGACCTCCTGAACACTAGTCAAGGTTCAGTAAATATTTTGGACATCCTATTGTCATACTTGTCCTATCTGAGGCCATCTCTGCATGCACAAATCTGAGGGAACAGTATTGAAGAGTTAATACAATTTCTCACTTAGTCCTCACTGTAGTTCTTCCACCTTTGTCACTCCTGTGATCTCATGGCTCCCACACTGGGCCAGGCCCTTTATTGTATGTGAGTAGAACTATTACAACAGCCTATTACCTGGCCAGCCTCCAGTGTGTCTTTGCTCCAGTCCTTACCACCTACTATTCTTGAAGCTGAACTCTAACCCTGTCACTCTCTGTTTATATGCCTTGAGTGGTGCCCACTGACTAGCAAACAAAAGCCGGATCCCCTGGGCTGGTATTCAAGGCCTTTACAGTCTAATTTGTCACCCACAAGTTTCCTCCATTTAGTAATGGTATACAGTAATACCATTTATTATTGATGGTATATAGATTACACCATTTCAACTAAGTGTATCTGTTTACTCAGATGAAGCCAGTAAGTGCCTTTGGGCATGGGTAGACAACTCCCAAGATTGAAGACATGAATAAAGGTTCTATTATTCTTGCTAACTTCACTTCCCCAGTAGTTGTCATTTCTTTTCCTTCCTTAGAATAACTTACTTTCTTCTGGTCTTTGTTTTATCTGGTCTGTAGCAACTTTGGGATTCCTTTACAAAATGATACCTAGAAGCTCAGAAGACTTAGACAAATAACTCTGCTTTCACTGCATGTTCACTTTTAATTGGGAACTGTTTTGTGTTCTTATCAGGTTCCCACTGATGTTAAAACTCTCAAATATTTCCCAGGGGATCATGGTTTAAGATTCCTTCATTCTTAATCCTGTCCCCTGCACTGGGTAGGCTTATGGGCATTCATGTCCATGTGATATTTTAACTGGATATGTCCACATACAACAATTACATTAGAACAGAGAACTTTTTAATGTGCAGGGTAACAGGACAGCCATGCTTCACTACAAGCTTCTCTGATGCAGGGATCAATTGAAGTGTAGTGTCACTCTTTCCCCAACTAGCCCTGCTGCAGAAAGTCCTGCAGTCCTGCAGCCTCAAACACTCAAACTGAGGGGAAAATGAGATTTCCTCTAAGCCTCAGTCAACTAAGCTAAACACGTGGGGCTGTTTGAGTCTCACCTGTGTAGTCATAATTCCTTCATGAGCCACTCTGGGCTCAGACTTCCAGCCCCTATGCAGAGCTCCTGGTGAGGGTGAGTGTTGAGTAGGGATCACATAGGGAACCATGTTGACCTTGGACTACCTTGGACTTGGAAGAGTCCTCTGGGTCCTAACAGCTATTTCTTTCCTATGGGAAAACAGCCCAGTAGCTTTAGTTTTTCTTCTCTGCCCACATTCAGAGGTTCTATCTACCCTCCTTTGTGGTCACTACCTAGCCTTCCTAACTTCTAAAATGTACCTATTTTTTTTTTCTTGACCATGAGCGTGTTATTCTCTATCCTGGTAGCAATAATATAATTCTTTTGGTAAAAGGTGGGATTTAAAGGTATAATTAGTAATTTAGACTGAGTTTTTAAAAACCTCTTGGCACTCATCCCTAAGTATTCCTGTCCACCAGTAAGCACTTTGTTGTCTTTTCTATAAACAAGTGACTTTGTTCCCAGAATTAACTTTTTTCCCCAGAGCTCAGTAATGGGTATAGCTTTCTTTCATTTCCAGTATTTTATTTTGGCTATTGGAACTTGGGAATAAATCCTGCTGAAAATTTAATGGACTCTGGCTTTAGATGTCTGTGATGAGATCATAAGAAATCCATAGATCTTCCCTAGTTTTATGTCTATCTACCATAGGGGTCTCATCCCTGCTTCAGGAAGCAGAAGATGGAGGTGGGGGGCTGAAGAATTAGGAAACAGTATACTTAAATATAAAGATCCTTCCTAGTTAGGCCCTGTGTTTCAACTACCAGGCATCCTCATCCCATAGCAGTGATGGAATCTTGCTCAAATAACTGATCTCAGCCCAGATTTTGAGACCAGCAGAACACCAGGGTGTGGACTAGACAGACATAGTCCTGGAGCTGGACCAGAGCACAGCCCTCTTGATGCCTAGTTGAATTGTCTGTCTACAAAATGGCAAAGAAAACAAATAGTTTTGGGACCCCAAAGGCCCCATGTAAGGCTTGTTTTTTTGTGTTTTGATCAGCTTTCTCCAGTGGTGGAGTTGAAGGTGGTAAATATTTTATCAGTGTGGCATGGGCACCTTCAGTGGCTGAATTGTGGGGAGGGCAGATGTGGTGACAGGAGGAAATCTCATGCTCAAGCAGTCACTGTTTTCCAACCAGCACAGTAGCATTTCTTTCTTTCTTTTTTTTCTTTGAATTAAAAAGAAACCAAAAGCTTTATTCTATACTTTCTTCTGTAGTATTTTGTTGTTAGATTTGTGATGCAGTTTTTGAGGAAGATGTTTCATATACAACAAACTAATGCCAGCCTGGTGAAAGTCATTTACAAAGAAAAATGTTCCCCACACTTTTCAACATAATATACAAACTGTAAAATCTGTTAAGGTGGAAATTCTCTGGAATTTCTTGAAGTATTGGAAAGTACAGCATGGCAAAAGAAAGGGTTATATAAATAGTGTTCAAGCATTCTGTAACATATAGTGTTCTTAGTGTAACAGAGTGCAACTTATCTATATACACATATAGATAAGTAGATGTAAATAGAAGTACATGAGGTAAACAAAAGCACCAGTTCTTTAAATTATACTTGATCACATAGATGAGCCAGTCTCTGTGATAGTTCATCCTGTTTCATGGAAGCAACACTGGTGCCAACAGATCCCGTCTGATCCTGTGGTCATTCCAGACTGAGATCAAGGCCACCTTCATTTGCTATTTCTTGAAGCAGCATAGTCACTTGGTTTTGTGGTGTTGTTAGGATAGTAGTACTACTCATTGTGTCTTCCATTTGTTGTGTTTGAACATCCAGTGTATCAAACTGGTGATCAAATTTATCCATCAGGGCAGAAATCTTCTCAAGGTTCATACTCCTCAGTGTAGCATCCATAAACTTAACCACACCTGCCATGGACTTGGTTACCTTGCCCATTGTTACTGCACTTTGAACTCTGGCTGCCACAGTACTCACCTTAGCACTCATTCTCAAGAAATTAATTGCTTGATTCTTCCAGCAGACTGCATTTTCAGCAGGTATTTTTGCAACTTCTGTATTGCTTTTCTGAATGGCCTTTTTATCTTGCCCTTTTCAGCCTTTTCTTCTTTATCACATTTCTTGGCATTCCCATTAAGCTCTTTGGCAGCAAATTTCAAGTTAAACAGGTGTTTCTCCATATTGGACATGGTCTTATGACCTTTCTTGGAAGGTGACAGCACAGGGCAGTGGCACGGGTTTGATGTGAGGGTGTTCAGAGTTCCATCCTCCTCCTGACCCACACCTAGGTTTGGATCCCACTTCCTGTTTCTGCCTAGGCAGTGTTTCTGTCAGTATTTCTATTGGTGTGAATTGCCTAATTCTCTGGGCTTCAACCACAGATGTGAAAGGAAACTTTGACCTTAAGCACCTAAGGCTTTAAAGATGTTAAAGTGCAGATCTGTGTGACTACTGTCTGGCTGTTTAAAAACTTTAAACAGACGAATAAACAACTTGAGATTTTGTCCAAAAACAATGATTTGTGTTTCTTTGTATATCAGACTTTCTAGTCTCTATTGAGATGATAGACTACTTTGCCTCTTCCCCTCCTCCCCAAACATAGGACTAGTCCTACTAGCAAGGAAGTTTCACTTTCTATCCTCAACCTACAGAGAAAGAGATTAAGATCCGGTGTGACATCAATGAATTTTAGGAGTGGGTACCTTAGAAATAAGCATTCATATGCTCATCACAAACAGCCTTATCTCTTGATGAAAACACAGCCTATAATGAATGGCTTTTACTTTGATTATAGGGACATGTTTTGAATTTTGTAGGATTTGAATGAGGTTTCTCTATAATTACCTCCGAACTTCAGAGGGCTTTGTTTTTGTTTTTGATTTTTTTCCCCCCTTTAAGGCTTTTCAGTACTATGAAATTGAGAGCTGAAAGGAACTGAGATGAGAATTAAGTTTGGACATAGATGTAGATTCGAGTTGAAAAATGTTCCTGAGGTTTGCAGGATAGTTGATCAGCAGAAAGATTAGTAAAATGTAAGATAGTCAGAGGGACCATACACAGATGCTTGCATGTGAGGAACCCTACTCTGGTGATGCTTTCTTCTCCTCTCACTCCTTACTTTCCCTGCTTCCATATAAAGTGGCATCTTCCTGGCAGTTGATCATGATATGTTAGACCTGTTTGGCTTTCCCAGGTTTAAATGATGACTACAGTGATCATGGCTTCACGTTTCTCTTCCCCTGATACTCAGTAGGAGGGCTCAGACCCTAGGCCCTTGGTAAGAGATCACTTGAAACATTGCCTATTTGTTTCTTGTTTTCTTGGCTGCTTAATCATTCATGCCACTGGTGGTGTGGCTGCCAGACTCTGCTGAGACCACATGAAATAGTCAAGTCATCAGGCATTCTGTGGGAGGCATTCTGCCTCGTTTGTACTGCATGCCTGTCTCTGTAGGCACAAAGGTCAGAGATGGCTATCTTGAATTACAACAGTGTGGCTTCCACAGAGCCTGGATTATTTTATTGTCTCTTCTTCACCCTCCACCCACATATACTGTGTGGTCATGAATTACTGTCCCTCCAGAAGGGAAGGGATAGTCAGTTTATTCTCTCATTTACTGGTAGAGAACTGTGATGAGGAGAACATGAAGGCTTGCCCTGCTGGCAGTTTAACCAGCAGAGTCTAGCCATCTGCTCTTGGGCCTCAGCCTTACTGCAGCAGTTCTGGCCTCCATTCTTATTCTCCTATGAACGAAGGAGCTTAATCCAGGAGCATTTGGGATGCTGATAGAAGTCTTCTACTAACTGGGTGCCAAAGCTGTAGCTGCTGGTTTTCAAACTTGTCCTGTTCTCCTCCTGTGGCTCAGGACCTTGCTTCTGCAGTGGGGCATGGGAAGGGGTGGATGGAAATGGAAGCTGCTTTCAAAAAGAGAAATCTGACCTGGCCATAGGAATCCTCTGTTGGGCATCCCTACTCTTCTCTGACTAGTATTTTAGGGCCCTGGAAACCAACCTTTATATCTTATTTCCAATGTAGCAGGCCAGCTCTGAGTCCTGGCTGCTCTGTTTTTTAAATTAAGGTCTTCCTTGTTCTGTCCTGCCTCACCTAACTCCTATGAACCCTTTAGGTCTTAGAAAAGTCATTCCTCTAGGAAGGCATTCTTAATTGTTCCCACCCCATTCCCTGCTCCCAGGACCTTTTTTTGATATTCTCCCTTTTATCCCTTATGCTAGGAATTCTTCCCTAGCATATCATTCACCACATGTCATTGTAAAAATATGTTCTTCCTAATATGAGAGGCATATGGGTCTCTCTTGTCTATAGATTTATCCCCAATGCCTAGAACTTGCCAGGCTCTTCAGACATTTGAATGAAAGTGGGCTTGTATTTTCTTAAAAAATTTAGGTCATATACTTGGATCTAATTTCTTTAGGTCAGGAGACAAAGAAGAATTTGGTTTTGGATCTATTGAAATTAAAGCATCTGTGTGTAGTCCCCACACAAATATATGCATTTGAAATGCAAGTAAAAAGGTTATCCTTGGGGAAATAAATTTGGAAATCATTAGTAAGTCCTGGAAGGAAGCCCACTAATTTCCCAATGGTGCTAATAAAATGGTCTGGATTTGGTGAGATTAGAAGAATAAGATTATAGGGGATGGAGGACAGGATTCTCAGACTTCAATTAGATTTTTTTTCCCATGGATGTATCCATTTGTTTCTCATCACAGACATGGCCTCCACCTTTAAACCCCGGGAATGTAAGCTGTCTAAACAAGAAGGGCAAAGCTATGGCTTCTTCCTGCGAATTGAGAAGGACACTGATGGCCACCTGGTCCGGGTGGTTGAGAAGGGCAGCCCAGCAGAGAGGGCTGGCCTCCAGGATGGAGACAGAGTTCTTAGGATCAATGGTGTCTTTGTGGACAAGGAAGAACATATGCAGGTGAATGGGACATTTGTGGTACTTCTTTCAGGATCTATTCAGCCCCCACATCTTTGCTGATTATTATTTTGGAGTTCGATGGAGCTGTCCTGGCTGTAGCTGGCAAGGCAGGACACACATCTTTATGGCTGCATTTTCTGCCAGTTAATCAAGTCTCTTATACCTAACTAAGAACTGTACAAATTATTATCAGATTTCAGTAGTTTCAGGTCTAAAATGCATTGCCTAGTGCTGATATGCCAAGAACTATGCTAGGTAATTTCATATTTATTTATTTTTGTTCAATTCTTATCACAACCCATGAGGTACATATCATTTCACAGATGAGAAGTAGAGGCTCAGATAAATTATGTGTTCATGCAGTGAACATATGGCAGTGCCTGACCTTAACCCAATTCCACCTGTCTCCAAGTGGGTGCTCTTTTCACAATACCATTCTGTTTCCATAAGACCTGGGAGGAACTGTTATGCTCTAGGGGTATCATTTGCCTTTAGAAAGGATCAGTCCTTTTAAGAATCCTCCAGGCTGGGGTTGGACCACACTCTTGATTACAACAGTAAGAGAGGTCCAGCATAATCTGCACCTGGCTCTGGGGAGGGCTGAGGTGGAGATGGCTGGGGAATTATCTGCTGACTATTTGGGTATTAGGGATTAGCTGTCAGAATCCCCAAGGCCAGATGATAAACCAGCAATACCCCTCTGGTGGTTAATAGAAGGTTATTGGTTAAAGTTATCTTTTCTTCCTTTAAGGTTGTGGATCTGATCAGAAAGAGTGGGAATTCAGTGACATTACTAGTTCTGGATGGAGATTCCTATGAGAAAGCCATGGAAAAAAAGGTGGACTTGAGAGAGTTGGGTCAAAGTCAGATGGAGCCATGTGTGAATGGTAAGAAACTGTCTCCTATGATGAATGGAGGAGCACAGACTTGGACCCAGCCACGGCTCTGCTACCTGGTGAAGGAAGGGAGCACCTATGGCTTTTCTCTGAAAACTGTCCAAGGTAAGTTTGAGGGTGTGGCATGAACAATCAGCTTTCCAGAAGAAAGATATTATCAATGAATGACTTCTTTGATTAACTTTCCAGTTGCTATGGACATCCAACAGCAGCTGCACTCTACCTGCCCTTCCCTTTGCACAATTGTGCACTTAAAAATCAAAACATCAGACAGCAGCAGGGTGGAGGCTGGCACTGGGCATTCCTGGCCCCCAGTGTTTGTTAGGCTAACCAGAGGGTTAGGGGGTTGATTATTCTCTGATATTCTGTTCTAGCTTCCTTAGGGTGAGAGTGGAGGGGACATTGGGGAATAACAGGCCAGAAAAAGGAGGTTCTTCATAACAGCTACTTTTGAGTAAGAATGATATCTCTTTTCATCTCTCTGAGTGCCCAGGTTGTCACTCATTTATTCAATAAATTCTCAGGCACCTATTGATGTGTCAGACACAGTTATAGTTGTTAAGGACATTGCAAAAATCCTTACCCTCTTGTGGCATTTAAACAGTACCCTTAGCCATGGCCCAGACTTACTCTGAGGTGTGTCCCTGACCTCTAGCTGACAGTAACATAGTGATTTGAAAAACCACAACCATCAGGAAGTACTAGAAGTTCTGTTTCTGAAATTTCAGGGGTGCAGGCTGACCTGTGTTCAGTTGACTGTGGTTCAATAATGGTTTCTCTGGGATCGAGGCTGGAACCATAAAAGCTGTGTTAGCCTTGTGGTTCTACCTCCAATGTTGCCCCTCCTGTGTACTTTCTGGTACTAGAGAGGCTCTGGTGGTGGATCATAATTTGGCACGTGATAAAGAGCAAACCAATAGTAAACATAATCTAGTTTCCAAGGCTTATTTAGCCTGTAGCAAGAGATATAAACTGGCTATAATAGGTATTTCTCAAGTTTGTCAATTATTAAACACATAGCGTAGGTGGTCAAGGGAAGCTTGGCACTTCTTAGAAGTCCATTATCAGTAAAATGATAAAAAAAATCATGATTCAGAGTCTATTCTTTTGGTTCTTGGGCATTTGTATAAGGTGAATGGTTTAGATGAACTTCATGAAGAAAATGTTTTCTTCATGACAGAGGTAGAGATGAACTTCATGAAGAAAATGTTTTCTTCATGACAGAAGTATAACAAGGTAATGTGTTTAAGGAAGCAAAGTTTAAGTTACTATTATTCCTTACAAATAACTTATCTAGTCATTATAAAGCAGCCCTTTGCCTAGACTGAGTATCTTGAAAAAGTACATTTAATTAAGAAACACATATCATACCACCTACTAATCCAGACTGCATGTATGTATGCTTCCCCTCCCTCCTGTGTCTCTGTTCTCTTTAGCCTACATCAGTGAGATTTATTGACTTCATTGGTCTCTGATGGTTGGTGACAGTACTAATTAGAGGACAAAATGGAGTGGATGTCTTCTAATTCTTCAAATGCAAAGAAAGGGAGTATGGTACAATGATGCAGCATGGGCATGGTTTGGTACTTTCTGGTCCAAGAGGCCAGTACCACCTGAGATTCCTTCCTTTCATTTAGTTGGGCTCAGAAATTCTATTTAAATCAACAAAGACCAATTGAGTAATGGCCATATCAAGTTTTTCTAGGAGCTATAATTATAATTCTAAATCAAAAGCCAAAGCTATTTGAGTTAGCCCTAAAATTGGAAGTTCTAATTTTACATTATTGGGAAAAAAAGAACAACAACCCTTTAATGTTGTACTTCCTGTGTAATGGAGTTGTAACATTTGTCTACCCCCTAATCTTTTTCAGGTAAAAAGGGAGTGTACATGACTGACATAACACCTCAAGGTGTGGCTATGAAAGCTGGTGTCCTGGCTGATGATCACTTGATTGAAGTGAATGGAGAGAATGTAGAAGATGCCACTCATGAGGAAGTGGTTGAAAAGGTCCTTTTCTTGTTTTATCTTTCACTCTGCTCTCATTGGAAGTGACAGGGAGATAAGAGCGGTAGTTTATGATGGGGGAAATAAAATCATGGTTAGTTACTCTTTTGTATTAAGAACAAAAAGACTCATTAGTGGCCTAAGCAGAGTTGATATAGGGTTTTAAAAAAGGACTTTACTAGTTTCATGTTATTTCGAAGATGTTATTCTAAAGAACCATTAAATTTATCTTTTGGATTTGATTGTACCTGATTGGGAGTGTCCCCTGAATTTATAGTAAATTCAATGTTGAACCAATGTTACTAAAATACTTTAATATAAGCTGGAAGATAATCAATGTGGCAATGAATACAGAGCTGCAGATGGGGAGTACTAGAAGGCATTACCCCAAATCTATGTCCGAGCATGGTCCCATGATACATGGAAAATAGTCTGAAGTTTTCCTTTAAGGCTATTTGAAATCTTGATCATTGACCAATCTTATCACTTTATCATTATAGAATAATCTTTCAAAATATACCTTTACTTTTTTTTTCTTTTCCAAACTCATTTTCTAGACTTCACCTGAGAACTTTTCTGGGTTTTCTGAATTCTAGCTCTCACTTTGGTTCAGTTAGCATCTGTGTGGTTGAGGTCATACGTAGCAAGGGGAAAAATAACAACTGTGGAAGTGGAGGTAGACAAATGCCAGTGAGGTGACAGGAAACAGTATAAAAGCTGAAACTTAGGCCTTATACTCCATATTTTCTGTTGAATATAGACACTGTGTGCCTATCTACAGAAACTTTCTTATTTCCCAGCAGTTTTTGGATATTGATGTTGGTCCTCACCTGTGTGTGTTGTTGCAGGTGAGGAAGTCAGGAAGCCGTGTCATGTTCCTGCTGGTGGACAAGGAAACTGACAAGTACCATAGTGAGCAGAATATAAAATTCAAGAGAGAAACAGCCAGTTTGAAATTACTACCACACCAGCCCCGGGTTGTTAAGATGAAGAAGGGAAGCAATGGCTATGGTTTCTATCTGAGGGCAGGTCCAGAACAAAAAGGTAAGGCACTAGGAGAGCAGGAAACTTGGCAGTGTAACCATCCAATTCTTCATCTAAGTCTGACTCCAGAGTTCCATTAGTACCCCAACCCCCAATATAAGGGAGGTAGTAAGAAGCTAGAAAGCATAGCTGGGTCAGTTTCCATATCACATGGGGGCTTGATGATGTGTATGACCCTAGGTTTCAATAGCAGAATAAAGCAAAATTTTGGATCTGGGCAGTGGTGTGCTATTAAATTGGCCCTTTGGGGAGGTGGGGGAGGAAGCCCTAATTTGTAGCATTTGTTGATTTTTGTGGTATAAATACTCTTACCATGTCTGATTTCAAGCTACCCACATAATACAGAATGCAAAATTGAGAAATATTGTGCACAATTGGTACTCATGAGCTGGTGTGAGGAAGCCCTAGCACATCCCTAGATCTGAGGCACAGGTGCGAGTTGGGATCTCAGGTACAAACAGAACCAGGAATCTTTCTGATTCCTTGTAACTCAACATGCTAAATACAAAGGTCCTCCTAGGGAAGATGAGTGTATAAAAGTATGTAAGTTCAGGTCATGTAAACTGTTACACACCCAGACGTTGCTATTTTCTTTTTGTTCTATATGTATACATGAATTCATCAAATATTAATTTGGTTCATATTATGTAAAAATATCCTTGGGCCTTTGACACTATCAAGTAAATCAGATGAATTCTTCAGTCAAAGAGCCTACTAGTTAGATGAGATAAGATACATGTCCATAAGGGAAGAAACTGAAGGTTGGAGCAAGCTTTTCTCACTCTACCTCATAGTAGAGGTAGCACTTGAGCTTAGACTTTGTAATGTAAATAGAATTTGGACAAGTTGATGGAGCAGGGACAAGGAAGGCTGTTCCAGAAAGATAGGAGTTAGATGAGCAGAGCAAGGAAACAGGTACAGTTTGATTTATATCTAATGAGAAGCACAAAAAACCCAAGTTAGGAAGATAGGTTGGAGAGAGAAATGAAGGACCTTTTATGCCAGGTTGAGGAGTTTGGACTGATTCTGTAGTCTATGATGTTAACAGTTTTTTGAGCAGTGCCAGGGGAGGAAAAATAAGCATAGTCACTTGGGGGGCATTATACATCTTAATTATTCCTAATAATTCTATGAGAATTGCTGAAATTGAGGGTGCAGAGGAGATACAATTATATAAGGTCAAATAACTGTGGTATAACTGGGATCAAACTCAGGTTCATTTAGTTTCAAAGCTCATGCTGTTGCACTGGGGAGTGACTTGGTCACATATTGTATCAAGATGAATATGAAGGCAGATCTGTATTGGAGAAGACAAAGATTAGGAGCAGGGAAAGCGACTGGTAAGGTGCGATAGTGTTAGGGTAGATAGTTGAAGCACCAGGGAGTCTCTCCCATTGGCCAAGATGACTCAGGGGGAGGTTCTTACACTAAGTGCCTGAGAGCTAAGCAGATGAATGGATAGGGCTGAATGTGCCCAAAGCTAGAAAGAATGGATAGAACCCAAGGGTGCCAGAAGCTAGAAATATGAATGCATAGGGCCCTAGCAGAAAGCTAGAAAGATATTGGATAGGAAAAAAAAAAAAAGCCCTCCATTCCCTATCCCTATAAGAATCCAGGGCTTGACCAGGAAAGGAGATGGTCTTTGAGATGGGAGCCCACCATTCTCCCAGGTGGTTAGCATTGAAGAACTTGGCAGTTTATTAAATACGGGGAGTGGATGCTGAGGAAGAATCCATCGTCAGTGTCAGTGACTGGGGCAATGGTGCTCCCACTAACAGGTGACCAAGAAAGGAGTTTTTGGCAATATATATTGGGAGGGATCTATGGGATATCCAGTTAGAGATGCCTACCAGTTAGATGGAAAAGTGAAACTAAAACTTGCTGACCCTTAATGCTTAGCATGCTATTTTGTCAAGACTGAATTTCAGACACTTTTAGTAACAACATGATTCTTTTCTTAGAACCTTTCATTATTAATAGGCTGGGTTTATTTCTGGAGGAAGTTCTGAGCAGGAAATGAGACTGAAGAAAGAAGGCACTTATAGGCTTCTTAGAGTGCGTGTCAGTGGGAGGGACAGTAGCTGTATTCAGCATGCCTACTACATAGTTTATCAGGGCCTTGGGCTCCAGCAGAAATCCTAGTTTTATAGGGGCCTTTCTGATAATTTTTTTTTGGGGGGTGGTGGGGTGGTTAGGTCAAATCATCAAAGACATAGATTCCGGAAGTCCAGCAGAGGAGGCTGGCTTGAAGACCAACGACCTGGTACTGGCTGTCAATGGCGAGTCTGTGGAATCCCTCAGTCATGACAGTGTGGTGGAAATGATCAGAAAGGGTGGAGATCAGACTTCACTGTTGGTCGTAGACAAAGAGACAGACAGCATATACAGACTGGTAAGTAATACAAGGTCACATATTCATGCTTTAAGGCTGGGTCCATTCATGCATACCCTCACTTTGGCTAAGTTTCTTTTGGTCTTCTTTTCCTTCCTTCTTTCTTCTTTCTGAGCCAGTGCTGTTTGGCTGACTATCTTTTATTTACACCACCATGGCTACTGCATTCATGAGCCCATTATGTTAGCACTGGTGTTCACTGTGTCAGTTGATGAGAGAGACTGGATGATTTCAACTGGCTGAATCATTCTTTCTACTTGGTTAAGTTTTCACTTTAATCTTCACACTGGAAAGTATGTAAGAGAATGCCATGTTATTGGTACATGAACTTTAAGTTCTTAGATTCATGATTTTCAAAGAATTTGCAAATATAACTGCATAATTAACCATCTTTTAATAAAAATGCTTTAATATGTTTTTTAATTTTTTTTACAATATATTGCATTGATTATACTATTACACTTGTCCTATTTCCCCCCCCCCTTTATTACCCTCTACTCTGCACCCTCCTTCCTACCTGCATTCCCCTCACTTAGTTCTTATCCAGGGTCATTCATACAAGTTCTTCGGCTTCTACATTTCCTATACTATTCTTAACCTCTCCCTGTCTATTTTGTACCCACTATTTACTTATTCCCCGTATCTTTTCCCCTATCCTCCCCCCACCCCTTCACTGATAACCCTCCAAGTGATCTCCATTTCTGTGATTCTGTTCCTGTTCTACTTGTTTGCTTAGTTTTTGTGGTTTTTTTTAGGTTTGGTTGTTGATAGTTGTTTGTTGTCATTTTACTGTTCATAGTTTTTGATCTTCTTTTCCTTAGATAAGTCCCTTTAGGTCCTGGCTGGTGTAGCTCAGTGGATTGAGCATGGGCTGTGAACCAAAGGGTTGCCAATTCAACTCCCAGTCAGGGCACATGCCTAGGTTGTGGGCCAGGTTCCCAGTAGGGGCCACGTGAAAGGCAACCACACATTGATGTTTCTCTCTTTCTTTTTTCCTCCCTTCCCCTCTCTCTAAAAATAAATGAATAAAATCTTTTTAAAAAGTTAAGAGAAAAAAGTCCCTTTAACATTTCATATAATAAGGGCTTGGTGATAGTGAACTCCTTTAACTTGACCTTATCTGAGAAGCACTTTATCTGCTCTTCCATTCTAAATGAAAGCTTTGCTGGATAGAGCAATCTTGGATGTAGGTCCTTGCCTTTCATGACTTGGAATGCTTCTTTCCAGCCCCTTCTTGCTTGTAAGGTCTCTTTTGAGAAATTAGCTGACAGTCTGATTGGAACTCCTTTGTAGGTACCTATCTTCTTTTCTCTTGCTGCTTCTAAGATTCTCTCCTTATTTTTAATCTTGGGTAATGTAATTATGATGTGCCTTGGTGTGTTCCTCTTTGGGTCCCACTTCTTTGGGACTCTCTGAACTTCCTGGACTTCCTGGAAGTCTATATCCTTTGCCAGACTGGGGACGTTTTTCTTCATTATTTGTTCAAATAAGTTTTCAATCTGTTGCTCTTCCTCTTCTCCTTCTGGCACCCCTATAATTTGGATGTTGGAGCACTGAAAGATGTCCTGGAGGGTCCTAAGCCTCTCTTCATTTTTTTTGAATTCTTATTTCTTCATTCTTTTCTGCTTTAATGTTTCTTTCTTCCTTCTGGTCCACACCATTGATTAGAGCCCCAGTTTCCTTTTCATCACTGTTGGTTCCCTGTACATTTTCCTTTATTTCACTTAGCATTGCCTTCATTTTTTTCATCTAATTTGCAACCAAATTCAACCAATCCCATGACCATCCTGATCACCAGTGCTTTTGAACTGTGCACCTGATAGGCTGGCTATCTCTTGGTCACTTAAAAATATTAGCTCTTAGGCTTTGATTTGTACTTCCATTTGAGCCATTTTTCCTTTTTTTTGGGGGGGGGCTGGTCCCATCTGTTACATGTGAGGGGTAGAACCTTAGGTGTTCTCCAGGGCAGGGCAGCCCAGTTGCTGGGTTGTGATGTTGTATGTGGGGGTAGGGTCTGAGAGGAAACAATGGCGCTTGCTCCTCTCTCTGTTGGATTTCAGTCCCTTCCGCTGCTTCCCCCAAGCAAACTGGGTCTTTCTGGTGCTAATTCCCATGTGGGTAGGCTTGTGTACATTCTAGGACCCCATGGGTCTCTCCAATACACTCTCCTGTGAGGCTGGGAGTCTCTTCCTGCACAACTCCCACAGGTGTTTTCAATCAGTGTCCCGAGGCTCTACTTCCTGGCGTTGGGACCCTGGGTTTTGTGGTCTGTCTCACTGCCCAATTTCGCCTGGTTTGTCTGGGCATGAATGTGGCTTAGAGAGCCAGGCACCTTTTGCGCAGTGCCTTGCTTCACAGTTGCCACCTCGCTGGGTCTGCCAGCCACCTGTGCGCCCAGGGTCCACCCACTGTGGTCTTGCGCACGGGATGCTTTATGCACCCGGTGCCACCACTTTTTGTTCCTGGACCCCTCTCCACCTAGCTGCCCGACTCCAACCCTCCTACTGGTCTGGATGAATGTGTCTATTTTAATGCCTTGGTGGTCTGACTTCTATACAGTTCAATTTTCTGTCAGATCTACTTGTTATTTTGTTTCTAAATTATTGCTGACCCTATTTTGGTTGTGCGAGGAGGCACAGCGTGTCTACCTACACCTCTATCTTGGCTGAAGTCCATAAGCTTATTTTGAGGTGTTCCATGGGGTATAGCTTGAGCAGATAGAGAAGCTATAGTGAGCTAGCTTTTGGCTTAGGAGAATTGAAGCTGTTAGGAACAGGATAAACCATTTCTGCAGAATAGTGAGCTCCCAGTTGGTAGAAAAGGTCAAGAAATCAAGTCACTGCTGTGGTTGTTTTAAAGGGGGTTCTGGCATCAAGTCCTTCCCAACTTCTAATCTTACAACAGAATAATTTCACTATAATTTTAATGTTTTGGTTAAAAAGAGAATTTTGATCTGTAAAGGTGTCTGTCCCCATCTTCTTCCTCCCTCTTCCCCCCAAAGTTGCACAGATGGGCTGGATGTTTGAAATATAGCAGTGAATAGAACACCTAAACCTGTTTTTAGAACATACTGGACACCTAAATATTTGAATGAAGAATGAATAAAAACTATTAAGTGTTTTATATTATTGTACTTTGCCTCAGAATTAGCTACCACTGTTAGTCTATTTGCTTATTTGGATAGTGATGTTAGAGGTATTTTTGCATATAATGTCACTGATAATTTTCTACACTTTAAAGAGAGAAAGAAATGTGGAAAATTTGCAAGTATATCACTGAAAGGTCCATAGTTAGTTGAATTGGCTAACTAGGAGGTTCTGTGCTAGTGCTAGTCTCATTTAGAAAGGAAGATGTGGTCTTGTGGTTAGTAAGATAATAACCAGGGGACACCAAATCTAATTTTAGCCTACTGAACAGTATGACTTGGGGTAGAGCACACATTATATATTCACTTTCAATTGCTTAGGTTTTTTAACACTGCCTCACAGATGTCTTGGGCACTTGCAGGCAGCAATTTAACTACTGATCTAGTATCTCACCATACCCAAATCTACCCTTTTAATTCTCTTAACTAAAACCTAGTCAGCTAAGCTCCTATTTCTATATAAAAAAAATCAGTCTTATGTTTCCAGTTCAATGCATCTTCTATATTTAAGACTATCACTGCCTTCTTCTCATGGATGGTCTGGGAAATGGGATGGATTTGAAGTATTTAAGATAGGAGTTTGGCTAATGGTTACAACAATAAATAGTAAAACAGAGTACAACACATCACAGTGCTGGAGGGGTAGTGGTGGAAGCAAATACCAAAGGATTGGAATTAACTTTTAATACCAGGTGACTATATGATTGCTGCCCACCACCACTCCAGTTAATTATTATATATACTTTGGATTGTGATAGAAATAATGTCTTCTGTTACATTTTCTCTAAGTGTTTAAGGAGTTCTGAAGATCATCTTACTGAAGGGGAAGAGCCAGATGGACTTACTTTGCTTGAGATAGTGGACAAGTCACTCAATGTGTATAACCTCCTGCCAGGCAGACTGCCTATCATTGTTCAGTGGCTTCCTTACCATCACCAAGTCAGAAGAAACTAGTAATTCTGCTAGACTTATTTTTGGATCCTTGTATAACATTTGTGCTGCTTTTATTTTATGTACATGTGATTTGTTTACATGTTTATACGCATTACTCCATAACCAAGCTCAATCTTCCTTTATACCTTTCCTGGTTGGGGTAATAGAGAAATTTTACAGCCCACAATCAGATGTATCAGGAAGAGGAGTGGAACATGTATGACACCTTGTAAATGAAACTAGCATATTTAATAGTGTAATTACTCATATTTACAATTAATGTTTTCCCCCTTTATTTTCCAAAGGGTAATTTTTCTCCATTTCTCTACTATCAAAGTCAAGAACTGCCTAATGGTTCTGTCAAGGAAGCTCCAGTTCCTACTTCTGCTCCTCCAGAGATCTCAAGTCCAGATACTCCAGAGGAAGTAGATCATAAGCCTAAACTGTGCAGGCTGGTTAGAGGTGAAAATGGCTATGGCTTCCACTTAAATGCAATTCGTGGTCAGCCAGGCCCATTCATCAAAGAGGTATGGTAATCTAGTTCCAGTAGCCCAATAAACACAGCCACAATTAGAAGGGTCTGTTTCACTCATTGATGGTTTAGTAAAAAGGTTACATTGAAGACCTACAGTGAGTGGTCTCACTTGGGTTCAAATAATTGCTATCATGGTCCCAGACCCTTTAAGATAGCTACTAGTACATCCTAAGCTAACATCTTTTTTTCCTAAATACCTGTTCCCCTCAATTGTCTCTTTAGACACTTTCAAATCAAATAGAGTTGACATGACTATAGCTGACAGTCACTATCACCACTGACTGAGGGTGATACTTGTTTGCTTCTGTGCATTTGGCATAATGCCCTATGCTGGTAGTGACTGACAGTGAGAAGGCTATCCCTACAGCTCTCTGAAATTGGCAATGAAGAAGGGACCTATGCCTTCAACCCAGAAGACATACAATATGATAATCAACCACTGTAACCCTACGTATTTCAGTATGGAAGTTGTAGCCTTCACAAGCAGAAAGCATTAGAGCACTTTCCCTAACTTCTGTACCTAAAAGAGAAATAATGACAGTTCAATTCTCAAACTCCTCATCTCTCCTTCGAAGGGAAGCTAGTCTAACATTCCCTTATCTGTGTTTGGAAGTGATAACTCAAAACCTCTGTTCACAGGTACAGAAAGGCAGCCCTGCCAACCTGGCTGGGCTAGAGGATGAAGATATCATCATTGAAGTGAATGGGGAAAGTGTGGTGGATGAAGTCTATGAGAACGTGGTGGACAGAATCCAGAGCAGTGGGAAGAATGTCACACTCTTAGTCTGTGGAAAGAAGGCATATGATTATTTCCAGGCTAAGAAAATCCCTATTGTTTCCTCCATGGCTGATCCTTTAGATGTACCCTTTGATTCCAAAGAAGGAACATTGGGGGAGTCAGACTACAACTCACACATGGCGAAAGAACGAGTGAGTGGTGACACATTTTTTTTCCCAGTGATCTAACTTACCAGAATATGGAAAACCCTTAATAAGCGCACCTCATGAGCATGTTTACCATAGATTTCCTAAAATACTAGAAAATTACAATGTAAAGGTAACTGGCACATCAAGTTATTGTAGGGGAGAGGATGTAGTATATAAACAACAAATTTCTTATTTTTCATAGCATGGAGTTGACAGTAACTATCTAGAATTGATAAACCAAGGAATAAATTAAGTATCAAAATTATAATAGGAGTGGAAGTTCAATCAAGCTATTTATGTACAAACTCTGGTTCTGCTGTGGGCAAATGGATTTATTCTTTGTGTGCCTTGGTTTCCTTACTATAAAACAAGGAAAATTTGTAGGGCTTTATCAGGATTATATTAACTAAGACTATTAAAGTGGATCAAACAGTGCCTTGTACATGGTAAGCATGAAAATTAATGGTGGAGGTTAGAGACAGTATTGTTTTTAAAATAATTGATAGGTATTCAAGTTTTATTACTAGGCACAAATAAACATTACTCTCTACATATTTAGATTAGATAAATTCCTTGGTAAATCTGTTTTTATTTTTGTCCAATTTCTTTTCATAGATGAACTTGAGTTCCAAGAGTGAACTGACCTATCCAATTTCATAAAGGAAACATACAGCAAAGCCAAAACTCTAAAAGCTCTAGATTATTTTTCTTTCATTATATTAATTTAAATCTTCTAATTGTTAATATAAAAATACCAATTTTAAATGAATACCCACTCTAACAGTTCATTTAGGCTGCTATAATAAAACACCATATACTGGGTGGCTTATAAACAACAAACATTTCTCACAGTTCTGGGGGCTGGGAAGTCCAAAATCAAGGTACTGGCAGATCTGGTGTCTGGTGAAGGCCCTCTTCTGGGTGGCAGACTGTGGACTTCTTGCTCTGTCCTCACATTGTAGAAGGAACAAGGGGTTTGTGGGGGCTTTCTTTTAAAGCACTAATCCCAGCTCTGCCCTCATGACTTGATCACCTCCCAAAGGCCCCACCTCCTATTACTATACTATCACCTTGGGGATTAGGATTTCAGCACATGAATTTTGGGGAGTACAAATATTCAGACCAAAGAACACATAATAGCCACTGATCATACTATCAATTTCTTAACAAAGAAAGTATTCTCATTGTCTTTTAAGAATCCTATAATGTGGGGGGTGGGCTGGGATGGGAGTAAAAGGCAGAAAACTACTTGAACAACAATTAAAAAAGTGTAAAAAAAAAGAATGCTATAATGTCTTTATAGGGAGTCAACTGTTGTACTATGCTAGTTTTATAGAAAGGGAATACATATACAGAGACTTTAAAAAATTTGTTAGTTTCAAATAGCAAGCTGAACACAAAGCCAAGTGTACAATTCAGGTCACTTGTATTCTAGTAAGTGACTCTACTCCCCAACTTAAGTCATGCAACTCTAAAATAAATCATCTATCTCTTGATATTCACACTCTACCACTTACAGACCCTTTGTTTTATTTTTCACAGACCCACAGTACAGCCTCTCATTCTTCTTCCAATTCTGAAGATACAGAAATGTGATGACTACAAATAATGGCTTTGGCACATAGTTGTTTCTGGGTATTTAACAAGAAGCCTTTTCTAAGAAATGAGCTGCTACCCATTTGCTGTCTCTGTTAAAGAACTCCTCTGGAAACCACTTCATCATGTGTAATTGTTTTCTGTTATCATTTATCTCAGGGGTAGCTATTGCAGATGGCTTATTTATAGTTAATTTAGGAAAAGTTAAGGCGGGGGTGAGATTCTGTTCATGTAATCTCTTTCAAGTTTCAAAACTCAACTATACAGGGTCTGGCACAAATAGTGCCTCTTTTTATTACACAATCATAAGCATGTAATTCTGTAACATAACAGTATCACACTCAAGCATACCATATGACATTTTAGGTAAAATTTTTGAATTAAAACTATAAATTATTACATCCATATTATTACACTACTGACCACACTGAAGCAGGCATTACTTCTGCTGGACCCTGTATTTCTCTGTATGGTGATATCTCTTCTATTTGGGGCTCCTTGAGCACCAAAGATGATTTATAAATCTGTATATGTGACAGCTGTCAATTAAAGTATCTGAGCATATAAGCCTATTAAAATTATGCTTTTTAAAGAATGCTGTGTTTACCGAAATAAATACCATTAAAAAGTTCTTTTGAGTGTGCTTGAACCTTCCCTGTTAGCTAATCTAATCTTAATACTGCTTTAGTTTTTGGTAAATTTTTTTATGCTTTACCCTTCATTTTGCCTCTAGAAACAAAATAAAACAAAATTCAGAATAAGACCTAAGTAATAAAATAGAGACTTTCTGGTAGTAAAATTCAGCATTTTCTTAAATTGTGTTTCTGAGTGTCCTACAAATTTTGCAACATTTTCCTTTTATAGATGAAAAAATTGAGTTGTAAGACAGGAAAGTGACTTAATCCAGTTTGTAGTTATTCACTGTTCTACCCACAGCATGAGGAGCAAATAAAAAAAATAGACATCATTACTAAATTGAATGAATGTAGAGTAATTCACTCCTAAATAATACTAAGTTCAAAGGAAATACAGAAAAACAGCATACTTGAAATCTGTCGTTGTAGTATCTATTTCAATTGCACCCTACCCAGTTCTCAGAAAAGAAAAGATGACCTCTTGGTTATTTTAATAGAGCAAGGGTTGGGGAAGGAGGAGTGGAATGCTAACTCATGTTAGACCATATAAGCAAAATACCAAGGTATTTTTTTAAGAGAGGGGGAAAGAGGGGCAGGAAGAGAGAAAGTGAGTGACAGAGAGAGAGAGAGAAATTATTTTCCTCTCACACGCCTGCAACCCAGGCTGGTGCCCTGCCCAGGAATTGAACCAGTGACATTTTGGTTCACAAGCTGGCATGCACTCCACTGAGCAACATCAGCCAGGGTAAACCAACATATTTTTGATAAAGAAGCTAAGGCCAAAGAGTTGCAATCTCTGATTTTAATGACAGTCAACCTCAAGGGAAAGCCAGAACCTTTCTCCATGTGAATCTTGACTTAAACAGAAATCCTACATATTTGGCCCAGCTACTGTAGACTTCTCTTACCTCATAGTTCAAGTGTATTTCCCCACCTCTAGTTTCTTGACTCTTTTCCACCCCTACTTCCCAATGTTGCACCAGTCTCAAACAAACAGGAACCTCTCAGCTGAGTATTAGATTCAGCTACCTTGCTCTCTCATGCTCTAGAGGATGCTATTCATGATCACACTACCATATGAGGTAGATGGCATAAGCTTGAGGTAGAATATACTACAATAGCATTTTGTTTTGTTTAAAAAATATTAGGCCCAGGTCCATTCCATTTTTTTCTCTTCTTATATCAAAATTCTGGCACCACTAGCCTGTTAGCAGTCCATAATATGAATGAATTCAAGGTGTCATATGCTTCTCTGGTGCCTGTTTGTGAGCCAGATAGAGGAAGAGTATGCTGGACAGAGCACTGACTAGGAAGATCACATCGAACCAACGGTGGTAGAAGTTGAATTGCAGTTCTCCAAGCACTTCAGTGATTATGGTGCGGTATTCTAAGGGCATGCTCATTCGGATCAGCAGCACAGATGAGACGAAGTACATGCCCTGTAAGTCAAACATATTAATCCAGAAGTCACTTTGAATGTAGTGAGGGAAAGGTCAAAGGGCATGATTAAAATATTTGAAGGTATAAAACACTTCTGGTATTTTACAGCTGTAAAGATAAAGCTGGTTTTCAAAACTTACCATTATCTGTGCTAATAGCAGGACAATGACATTGGAGGACTTACTGCTAGAGATGGCATAAAAGAACTGTCAATAAAGGGAAAAGAGATAAATTTATGCATCACTGCTATATCCTGTGTCAAGAAAAAAGAACATTAAGTAGCATGATTAACACTTATTTAAAAGTGTCTCTTCCATGCCACAATACTGTATACAACAATTTGAATGGTTAAGGCTATAAAGAAGAGACTTAAATAGTCTCAAAAAAGGATCTAGTTACAGTTTTCCTGTTGGGTAGTGGTTTTAAGTATTACATTGTAACATAAAAGGATTCCCATCTAACAAACTTTTTAGAAACTATGTGATACACCCGACTTTAACATCACTATAAAGATTTGAAGAGTTTACTCTGGGTCCCTGAAATTGTTACTAGGCTGCTCCTGAGCTCATTCCAAAATTGTGCTAGATGCCTGGAGACTCTCTTTCCTCCATTTTCTCAACATCTTCCCTCCTCTCATTCAAAGAACTCTTGGGTCTGAAATCCCTACCTCTTTTACCAGAGAGTATTTACCCTCCAGGAAGTTTTCGTATGTTGAGCAGAAAGCAATTGAATATTCTTCTTTTCCTACTTCCAGATTCTCCTTACAAGTGACTCCCACAGTTATTTTTCCAATCTCAAATGCTTCTCTCATTCACTCATTCCAAATATCTGCTGAATATCTACTGCTGTTCTAGATGCCACTGACATCAGTGAACAAAACAGACTGTGGTCTCATTCTATGACCTTTGGTAAATGTAGTTTTATCTGATTATATAATATAAGTACATCATCATCAATTTATGTATTAGGTAACTTTTAATTCCTCACCTGAGGATATTTTTATTAACTGCTTTTTTTTTCAGAGATAGAGACAGGAAGAGGAAGAGAGAGAGAACATTGGTGTAACAGAGAAACATCGACTGGTTGCCTCCTGTAGGGTCCCCAGCTGGGGATCAAACCCACAACCTAGGCATGTGTCCTGACCAGGAATTGAACATGCAACCTTTTGGTGCACAGGACAATGAGCTCTAACCACTGAGCCACACTGGCCAGAACTGTATTAGCTTAACTTTTTAAAAATTCTGTTGTATGTCTTTTAAATATGTGTAACTGTTGTTTAAGATCTCAGAAGACAGAAATCTTAAATGGTAAAATTATTTCATAATGCCATATATAATTAAAATTATTTCACAATGCCATATATAATTATAACTCTGTAATACAACATACCTTGGTAAGAGTGATCAGTAATCCTCTGATAGATGTTACAATGATTATTCCAACCAGAATGAAGGAAATATGTTGGGACCAGAACTTCACCTGCCACCACAATGGAAAAAATAAATATCTGTTAAATCTCTGTTCAGAAAGACATGAAGGTTAAGAAGGTGCATTCTGATTGCTTATGTGACTGTGAAAGGAAACTTCATTAGGCCCTATCTGATTAAAAAAATTTTTTTAGGGAAGCAAGCAAGTAGCAACTAAAACACCTATAGGAAGCTGCAGTAAATATCTTCATTAGCAGACATAATGAAGACTTAAGGACAGAAGAAAGTATAATGAAGTGATTAAAATAACACAAATAAATCAGAAGCAACACAGATCTAATGATATAGCTTCAATGTGATAAATGGAAAGCACAAATTAAAAGGAAACCAAATAACAGCTTGACTATTTTTATCTATGACAATTCTGTGATCACTCAAAACTTTTAAGGAATTTTTTATTTTTAATAAAGAATATACAGACATTCTTAGCCATGGTCACTTGAAAAACATGATGATATCTTTTCCTCCTCTTTTACTGCTTCATAGTGAGAGGCAGCTTTGGGATCCTGTGCTTGATTCAGGTCTGCAAAGTATCTGAGGGACAGCTACTATCGCTACCATCTAAAAGATGCTATTCAGAATTATGAACCATGGAGTATATAGATGAATTATAGATGGAATATAAATACATATACAGCAACTAAATAGAAATATATAAACAGCAACTGATAAGGAAGAGCATTTCTAAAAATTGAGCCCAGTAAAAAATTTAAAAGGGAAAATAGATATGCATATATGTAGCACTAGTGAAGCATATGTTACAGTATAATTTATATAGTACTTGAAAAGATATCATGCTCCTTCACATGAAAAAGGGTACACTATTGATATACCATTAAAAATGTATGCTTTAAGCTATTTCTTAAGGACTGGAGCTCAATTTGCTCTGGTTCATTTTCATTTTATCCAGCTACTAGGGGCATGTTCAGCTGACATGAATAGATGAGGGTAGCATGCTGTCTGTGGCTAGGATCACAGCACAGGTAAAAGGTCCTCATGGGGACTAGGAACATGACATTGATCTTACTATCAGCCAGGATCACTGGCCATCTGTATATATGAAAAATATACTATTCTACAAATAAAAATATTAAATTTAAATTGGGACAAGAGTGTGTTTAATGACAGTGGTATTATAAAACAGGTGGAAATATGACAAAAATTTGTGCACAGGTTATAGTTATCATGTTTAGCTCAAAGTCCACATTAATTAACAGATTATTTTTTATAGCAGAAATCATTTCAGTTCTAATACAGAACACTAATCAGTAGTTAATATTCTACCAGAGGAATCAAAGGTAGGTTGTGTGTTTTAAGATCTCATTAAGTATCACAGAGAGGCATATCCAAGTGTTTGGTGGTGAGTGGTAGCTGGCTACAGAGAAGTGGAGGAGGAACTATAGAAATAATCAGCATCCATGACAATAGTTAAGTGCCAGTAATTAAGTTTGATGCCCATTACACATCTGTCATACAAATGTCAAAATATACAGAGCAGAGTGGGAAGAACAAAAACAGAATCAAGTCCCTATAGTAAGGAATTAGAATATTAATAATGGTAATTTATACCAGATAGAATAGAAAAAAAACAGAGAAACTGGGATCTTGATACAACTCTTACATCAAACTGAATCCCCAGATAATTCACAGTGATCTCAATGCCTCTTGTGACAGGATCAGTTTTCCCAACTCGATCAAAAACAATATTAATGGTTGCCTGAAGAGACATAGAACTTTATATTAGAGCATTTCAATAATCACCCACTGTTTCAAAAAGGTGATTCAGAATAATGAATTAATCACCACAACAAATCTTATTGCTGGATGTTTCTAAAAATGCAACTCTATTCTCAATCTAAATCATATATAAGAAATCTATTTTGGCTATTCACATATAGGCAAATAAAAGTCTCTATCTACCCTAGCTTTCTTTTCTGTAAGGAGTAAAGGAGACTAGGCTATAGTACATACACCTTAATTTATCAGGAGCCAGAAACGTAACATTCTGGTAGATGAAGCCAGGGTAACAGAATAAAGGAATTCTAGGGTTATTCCCGGTGGTTATTTTC